ACCCTAACCCTAACCCTAACCCTAACCCTAACCCTAACCCTAACCCTAACCCTAACCCTAACCCTAACCCTAACCCTAACCCTAACCCTAAAACCCTAAACCCTAAAACCCTAAACCCTAAAACCCTAAACCCTAAACCCTAAAACCCTAAAACCCTAAAACCCTAAAACCCTAAAACCCTAACTCTGTAACTGCTGTTCTAATCTCGTAAATTTTCGTAAACAACAAAACCACCCCTATCTCTGAAAAATATTCCCTATCTTCATCTTTAATTATGACTATTCCCTCTGCTCTGGCCTTAACCCTAATCCTTTCACCTGTCCCTAACCTTGTTCTTTTATTCTATCCCTAACCCTTTCCTTTCATCTAACCCTAACCCTTTCCTTTCATCTATCCCAAACCTTGTTCTTTTATTCTATCCCTAACCCTTTCCTTTTATCTATCCCTAACCCTTTCCTTTATCTATCCCTAACCTTGTTCTTTTATCTATCCCTAACCTTCTTCCTTTCTCTATCCCTAACCTTTTCTAATTCCCCTGTCCCTAACCCTTTCCTGTTGCTCTCTCTCTATCCTCTCTTACTCCTAACCCTAAACCCTCTTAAAACGCCTTTACTATCTAAATTCCTGTTTTTGTATTTTCCCTTGTCTCTGCTTCGCTCCTGCTTTGTCTCTATCCCTCTAACTCTTGCTTTGTCACTAACCTCTTTGCTATATACTAACCCTACCTTTTTTTTTTCTCTTCCTTCTTCTTTCTCTCTCTTGCTCATCCTTTATTCCTTCCATCTGTATCTTTCTCCTCCTAATTCTTTCCCTTGGACCTCTGCTTTAATTCTCGTTCGTCCTTTATATTGTAAACTACCCCCTTCTAAACCTTACCTCTTCCTTTCTACTATCTCTTCCCTTTTATATCTTCACGCCTTCTCTTATCCTGAACTTATACTTACGGTTTACCTTACTATATTTTTATCTACCTCTTTTAAACTTGAACTTGTTGATTATTTTTACTCCCTTTCTTCCCTAACCCTTCTGTCCTTATGTACTGAAATATTCTCCTTGCGATGAACTCCTTACTTTGATATCTCCTCTATCTACTTATTATCAACCCCTCCCCTATCCTAAACTGATTCCCCTGTACTCCTGCCTACTGGTAAAATGTGTCCTGCTTCCCCTTCTTACCATGCCCCTGACCTTATGATAAAATGGTTGTCTTTGGAACCTTATTCGGCTTGTTCTGTGTTAATTTATCTGGTGCTTACTATTCCTCTATATCTTGGTGTTATATAATCTGTATATATTATGAACTTGGAATTCTCTATAATGCTGCCCATCCACTTGTATCTGAATGGGAACTTTTGACTCTGGCTTTGGACTGGAATCTCTCTCTCTCTCTTATTTATGCCTGCTTATACTAACTACCTTACTTTATTAATATAAACACCCCTCTTGTTTTTCCTTTACTTTATCCTTAACTTTTATCCCTACTCTATTTTGAACTTTTTCTCTACTCTAACTCTTACTTTTATTTCTGCTCTGTTTCTAACTTTCTATTTCTACCCTATCCTTAACCCTTTTCTTTTAACCTATCTCTAACCCTCTTCCTTATTCTAACCTTTACCTTTACTTCTGCTCTAACCCTAACCTTACTCTTTTAACTTATCCCCTACCTTGTTCTCTACCCTATCCTTGACTTTTATTTTTACTCTATTTCTAACTTTCTATTTTCGCCTTGTCCCTTACCTTTTCCTTCATTCTAACCCTCACTTTTATTTCTGCTTTACTTCTAACCCCTTTCCTTTAACCTATCCTTTATCCTTTTCTCTGCTCTAATTCTGCCCTTTATTTCTGCTCTATCCCTAACTCTTATTCCTGCTCTATCCCTCACCCCCTTTTTCTTTTACTCTATCCTAACTTCTAATCCTGCTCTATCTCGAACCCTTTCCTGTTGACATATCCCTAACCTTAACTTTGTACGATCTCTGACTTGCTTATGCTCTCCATCTGTGGGTTGCTATATGAACCTTCCTCCTTCTTTCTTACCTAACTCTGTTTACTTATTATTCCTCCTTGTTATCCTGTCTGTGTATGTTTCCTTTCTCCCTCTAACTCCTTTCTTCCCTTTCCTACTCTATTATATATATTAACTATCTACCTTATGAATCTGCTATCTTTCGTTTGTTACTTATTAACTTCTCCTCTCTTACTTACTCTTCTAACCTTTTGGTTTATAACCTTTCTCGTGGTACATAACCCTTGTTTTGTGAATAACTTATAACTCTTTTTTTACTATCTTACTCCCTTATCTCTCTCTCTCTATTTACTCTCTAATCTTCTTTATAACGACTCCTATACTCTTACGAACTCGCCTCTACGGACGAACACCTTACTACTCGGCCCTTTTGTTATACTATGCTACTATGCTATCTAATCTAAAACTGGTCCTGTTATCTTCAACTCTGTATCTGTCTATATTATGCTTATATTCCTATGTTCCCTTTTCGCTCCTCTCCTTGCCCTCTTTACTTTTGTCTCTTTCTCTGCTCTTTATATTCCTCCCGTCTTCCCTATCCCTTCTCTCCTCTCTATACTTTACCCTTCTTGCCTCTACTTTCCTCTGCTCCTTGGATCCCCCCTTTCTTGTTGCTTGCTAATTGTATGTCCCCTCTATTATCTGTTTCTTAACTCTATCCCTCCTGAACTTTGCTTTATTGCTGACTTCTATTTCTGCCCTATTCTTGACCCTTCTGTTTGCTGTATTCCTGACTTTGATTCCTACTCTGACCTTAATCCTTCTCTTTAACCTATCTCTGACCTTTACTGTGTACTAACCCTGGCTCCCCTATACTCTACCTCTATGGGCTGCTAAATGAATCTCCCTCCCTCTCTTTTACTGAAATCCGTTTTTTTACTTTTCCCCCCTTGGTCTTCTATCTGTTTGTATTTCTATTTCTCTCTGTCTACTTTCTTTCTACCTCCCTTTATCTTTAACTACTGTCTACTGTATAAATCTGCTATCTTTGGTATGTGATTCTTTAATTCCCCCTCTCTTGCTGACCTTGCTACCCCTTTTTGGCTGTAATTTTTCTCGGTGTACTCTGCTCTCTTTCTATAACAAATCTTTTACTCTTTCCTATTATCTTAATACTATTCTCTTTCCCTCTGCTTGCCCCCGAATCTGCTTTATTATAACTCCTATACTCTTACTAATTCGCCTTTGTTAACGAACCTCTTACTGTTCTGCCCTTTTGTTCTGCTATGCTATCTAACCCTAAAACTGGCCCTGAAATCTTTAACACTACATCTGTATTATATTCACGCTCTTACATCCCCTTTTTACTTCTTTTTTTTCCCTTCTCTCCGGCCCCTTTCTCTGCTCTTTCCATCCTTCCACTGTTGCCTATACCTTTTGCTGCTCCTTGTATTCCCCCCTTCTTGCTCCTTGCTCATGATTCATCCCCTCTGTTACTCTTTGTCATCTTCCACCTCCTGCTCTCTTGTGCTATTAAATCTTTCTGTGTGAAAAAACATCTGATGCTCTGTTTTCTATTATCCTTTACTACTATACTTCCCTACTCCCTACCCTAAACTGTCGTACTCCTATGTACGGCCCCTACTCGCCCCGCCTTGCCCTGCCTGATCACCCCTCTGCTACGCCCTCTACTGCCTTCTGCCACAACTGGCTTGTCAACCGGCACAACTTGCTTGACTGCACCCCTCCCCATTGGATCATCTGCCCTAACCACTTATATACCTCCTTCTCGCTCGACGCCCACTCCTCTAACCCGTCCGCTCTGCGCATCGCCCTCACCGTCTCCTCGTACACCCTCGACCCCACACCGATCGTTGCGACGGCGAACATCGTAACCATCAACCCTTGGTACTGGCATGAACCGCCCTCGACCTCCGTGAACCGCCCGCCGTCCTCGCCCAACGGCTCCCATCGCCGACACCAACCCTGCGGCAATCCGCAATGGAAACAACTGCTGAAATTCTCCATCATCCGTCCGTCGAACATGGCCTCTTCCATCTGCCTCCTGTACTGCGCCGTCCACCCCCACGCCTGCTCCCCGCGGCCTGGGCAATCGTCTAACGTGTGCCCGTCGCTCTCTCTCCGGCGTATCCCGCAATACGTGCACCGTCCCGCCCACCGCGCCAACTGCTGCTTGAACGTCTCCCCCTCCTCCCCTAACCCTGAACGCTCTGCCCTGGCCTGCCACTGGCGGAACTGCCTGGCTTGCTGACTGGTCTCGAACGCGGCCCTGATCTCTTCGTCTTCTCTGGCTCCATGTCCCTCTCTATCCCCGTCCTTGTCCCTATCCATATCTCCATCCCCGTCGTCTACCCACATCACCTCCGACGCCCTCTGCCGGCATATGTCGCATGCCTCTTCGCCCTCCTCGCACCCTGGACGGTCCACCCGCCCGTCCATGACCTCGTCTAACACAATCCGCCGGCATACCTCTCCCCTGATGTATGTCCTTGTTGACACCTCCCATCCCCCTCCGGCTGCCCTCCCATCTTTCTCTGCCTCCCCTGCCTCCTTCTCCTTCTGCTTCTCCTTCTCCTTCTCCTCCACGGCTGCCCTACTGCATATAACAACCGACCGGCTTGGCTGGCCGTCTCGCCCGGCACGCCCGCTCTCCTGGACGAAATCCCGCAACCGCCGCGGCATGCCCGCGTGGACCACCAACCGCACGTCCGGCACGTCGATGCCTAACCCCAACGCGTTCGTCGCCACGATGACGCCCCCATCGGCGCCGTCGCCCATCCTCCACGCCTCCAACCTCGACGCCTTGTCCTCCGTGCTGCCGATGCTGCTGTGGAACGCTGCGCACCCCAACGCCTCGGCCATCCGCTCGACGCCCTCGATCGTGCTGCTGTACACCACCGCCTTGCCGCGTGGCTGCTGCCGCAACCAATCCCTGACCTCCTGGCAACCGCGCTCCTCGACGGCGCTCAACTCGCCGTCCTCACCCTCCCGACCTGACCCTAACCCTAACCCTGACTCTGCCCGGCGCCTGTGGCTTGCCGCACCACGACCACGACCACGACCCCCACCCCCTGACCCTAACGCAACGACAACAACCCCATACTCGATATTCCTCCGCGTCGTCGCCTCGCGGAACACCCGCACCCGCTCCTGCCGGATCCCCGTCACGGCGAAAAACTCCCGCTCCTCCGCCGGCGGCAACGTCGCCGTCAAACACACCAACTGCGCCCCGAACTCCTGCACCGTCCGCCCCAACGCCCGCAACGCCGGCCGGAACCCCCTCGACCCATCCAACACGACGTGGCACTCGTCCAACACCACCCGGTCCAACTGCTGCCGCCGCTGCAACCGCCCGACGAAATCCCGGAATCCCTGCGTGACGGCCGACTCGGGCGTCACGAACACCACCGTTGCTGCGGCCGTGTTGGCCCGCCCGCCGCCGCGCCACGTTGTCGACGCCAACCCCGACCTCGAACACCGCGCGTCCATGTCGGTGCGCAACGCCACCAACGGCGTCACGACGATCGTCACCCCGTCCGGTGCGCAATACGCCGGCAACATGAACGACAAACTCTTGCCGCCGCCCGTGCCCGTCACCTGCACGATCGGGTCGTCCCCGCGCATGATCGACCGGATGACCCGCTCCTGCTGGCCGCGGAACGCCGCCCGCGGGTCCCCCATCATCTGCCGCAACTGCCCGCCGGCGTTGGCTAACTGCAACCGCGTGAACCGCCGCCGCCGCTGCCCTTCGAACTCCTCGTCCGCCGCCGTCGTCGCCGTCCGCCGCCGCTTGGTGGGTGCCCCGCCGCCCCGGTCCTCCGCCCCGAACCCCAACAACCGGTGCCACTGCCGGCTGACGGCCCGGAACCTGTCCCGCAACGCCGCCGTGCCGAACGGTGCCTCCTGGTACAACCGCCCGTATATCATCCCCGCCACGTGCGTGCCGTGCCCGGCCTGCAAATCCAATGCGCTGTCCTCGACGCCTATGTCGTCGTCGTTGTCGTCGTTGTCGTTGTTTTTGTCGTCTGCCCGTCCGAACGCCTCGTTCAAATACCGGTTGGCGATGGCGACGGCCATGTGCCGCCACCCGCTGATGTTGATCTTGCTGCCGACCAACCGCTCGCTGTGCTGCTGCATGATCCGCCTTGCCTTGTCTGACGTCCACAACCGTTCGTCCGTCCACGGCGCCCGGCCGGGGGTGGCGTTGGCGCTCTCGTCTGTGATGGTGTTGTCACGGGCGTCGTCGTCCTCGGTGTTGTCACGGGCGTCGTTGTCCTTGGTGTTATTGCGGCGCTCGTCGCCCCTGGTGTTATCACGGCTCGCCTCGCCCGCCGCCCTGCCCCTTACAACCACGTCGTCCGCCCATAAAAATGCGCTCTTCCGGTCCGTCTGATGGATGATGCCTCCTACCTGCTGCCAAAACGGCAACACTAACCATAAATACCACACCAACAACTCGCCGACCTCGCGCGGCAAATACCGGTGTATCACCTTGGCCGTCCCCGTCTGGCGGTAATTCTTGTGGTACGACGTGACGAAACATATCATGCCGTCGTGTGCGAACACGTTCCTGACCCCGCCGTTGGCCGTGTTGCTGTGTCTGATGCCTGCTAACTCGGGCGCCCGCGCCGGCTGCCCTGCCACCATGTGCATCAACATCCACAACCGCTCCCGGAACGATTCCAACGCCTGTCTGTATGCCTGCACCGTCCTCTCGCGGTATGGGTGGTGGCTATCGCTGCGGTTGGACGTGACCTCCTCCGCCTGTCCTGCTGCTGCTGCTGCTGCTGCTGCCACTGCCGCCGCCGCCGCCCCTCGCGTTGGGTCTAACCACGCCCGCCGCCGTGCCTCCGACTCTGCGATGCGCCGTGCGATCCACCCCTTCCCCTTGCCCACCCACGCCTCGTTGCGGTCGTCGTGTAAAAACGAATACCCCGGCCGGTCCTGGCTGTGGTCGTCGTGCATGCTGTCCCACCTGATGGCGGGCAACGCTGCTGCTAACGCTGATCGGCCTCCGTACCCATCGCCGTGCCCGTCCCTGTCGGGATCATTATCCCTATCCCCATCCCCGTCCACCACCGCCAACTGCGCCAACAACGTCCGCGCCTCCTGCGCTACCCCGTGGAACATCTCGGCCAACTCGCACACCCGCACCCGCACCCGCCGGAACGATATCCGGTCGCCGCTCCAATCCACCATCCCCGGCGCCACCGTGTTAAACCGGATATGCATCCCGTACGTGCGCGCGTCGTAAATCCAATTCATCGCCCTGGGCTCGTCGTCCGGCCGCCCGGGCATCCGCGTCATGAACCGCCGCACCTTGTCGCGCACCAAATGGAACACGCTGCTGGCCTCTTCGTACGCCGCCTCGGCCCCTTTGGTCGCCGTCAACGCCACCACCTCGTCCTTCCGCTCCAACCACGCCTGGTACACGACGAACATCTTGGCCACCTTGATCACGGCTGAATAATTCGTCGTGTACTCCGTCGCCTGGTGCCACCCGCCGTCCTCGCGGATGCCCAACACCGCCAACGCGCCGATCATCGCGCTCTCCTTTTGGCTCTGCTTGTACGGGTCCTCGATGATGGCGATGATGGCGTCCAAACACATCCTCTCGACCTCCTCCGCCTGCGCGGCCTGCCTGCTGCCGACATCCGCCTCGACACGGCTGGTGAACGCATCCCACAACGACCCCTGACGCATGGTGAACCGATACGGCGGCCGCTCGCGCTCCGGCCACTCGTCCATGCGGAACCATATGCTCACCATCTTACGCCAAACCTCCTTGTACCGCTGCCACGTGTCGTCCTCCATGCGGTTGTCGAATGGCCGCACCGGCTTCTGGCCGATCTCCTTCCGCTCCGCCTCGAACAACACGTCGTGCCCGACCTTGTGCGGTGCTGCTGTTGCGCATGCCTTGTCGGCGACGCTGTTGAACACGGCCCATATGGCCTCTAACGTCTCCTCGCCATCCTCAATTGGTCGCGTGGCCTCCTGTAACTGCGTCTTGTTCAACCCTTCCAAATCCCTCGTCCACCCGACGCGGTACAACCACCCGTTCGGCTCCAACTTTTCGTCCACTGTACTGACCTCCTCGCGCGCGTCGGCCTCGAACCGCTTCTCTTGGTTCTCGTGCAACGTGACGAACCACGCCGTGTCGTCCGTCCCCGGCCCCGATGGCTCGCTTTGAACGGCCACCCCTAACCCCCGCCCGACCTCGAACCATCCGCTTGCGGCCCGTGTTAAAAAAAAACGCTGGCATGGCACGCCTGTTGTCCACGGCAAATCTCTGACTGCCGTGGCTTTCTTGCGCACATTGCCCCCCTTCTGCCAATCATTCGCCCACCGGTGTTCTGCCCGGCAATGCTCCTGCATGTTTCGCACGCGGCGGCACACATAACGGCATGCGTGGCAACGCAAACCGTCCGCCCGGGGCGGTGCGATATGGGCAACTGGCTCGACCGTGGGGTCTGGGTATTGAAACGACTGCAAATCGGCCTGGCTGCGGATGATGCCGGGAATATCGCCGACTAATCCGGCGACCTTGCTCCTGGCCTCGGCGGGGATTGACCGATGGTTATTCCGCAAATGCGCCGTGGCTTCGTTGGCTAATACGGCGTACTGACATAATGTGCATATCAAAATGGAATACTGCGTGTTGTGGACGAATGGCTCCATCTTTGGCATGTATTGGTTACTTTCTTCTATCTACTGTTTATGACTGGTTCCTCCTGTCCTCTCTTTATAAACTCACCTTCCTGCCCCTTAATTCCATATACTTTCTCCTTGATCTACTTTCCTCCCTGCCTACGTTCCATCGCTCGGTCGGGCTTTCTGGCCTGGCTGATGGTCCTGTTATATAATTGGCTGGTTAATGCGGGGATTCGGACGACATCACAAAAACATCTACTACCCTATTCACCTATTTCTGGACTCATATCACGGAATAAAACACTGAGAACTGGGTTCCTATAATTATACCGATTGTGGCTTTAATTGCATGCTACTTTTACCTATTTTACTACGGAAAATCTCAACGGCTTCCACCTTGCTGTGAACAACGGTTTCCGCCCTTGTCTCAACGGACCCACCTAATTCCATGGTGGGGCGTTCAATGGCTTCCGACGTCAGCCATCGTGGACGTGATGTTAGTTTAAGTTCTACTTTCTATATATATTAAACCTTAATATTAAAATATAGTTAATATATCTCTATCCTCTATATATAATCTTTTAGTTTAGTTTAACTAACTTTAAATTACTATCTTCCTTTATACCTAATATTTACTCTTCTCTTTTTAAGATATATATTAATAATTTAGAACTAACTCTTAACTTATTTTATATTTTATAATCTATCTACCTTTAAACTTTCTTTCTAATCTTAAACTTTATTATAAACTTTTTAAGTAACTTTAAAATATATAGATTCCTTTATTACCTAAAACAGCTACTTTTTATCCTCCTTTTTAACCTATTATATTAAAAGCTAAGTTACTTTATATAAATAGCTACTTTTAACTCCTCCTTATAAAATTTACCCTCTTAGTTATATATAAAAAATATCTTAACTATTTCTTTTCTCTTTTATAACTTATACTCTTTTAGTAGCTATCTACTTTTTAAATATACTACTTTATACTACCTCTAAAAGCTTTACTATATTAGTTATAAACACCTTAATTAGTATACTTCTTAGTTAGTATATTTATCTTTTTATTTAGTAGAACTACTTACTATCCTCTATTTTACCTTCTTATTACTTATAAAACTCCTATAGAAGCTTATAGTTAAAGTAGCTAGAAAACTACTTAAGATATTTCTTACTAAAGATCTCCTACTTTATAGTCTTTATATTTTACTGCGCTTATATCTACTCTATCTCCTCTTTCTTTAAGTACTTAGGAAACTTATATTTATTATTATCCTTTACCTTAAAATATAATATATACCTCTTATATTACTAGTAAAGCTATGTGAGAAATGCTTCTATTTTACTAACCTTATTTATCTTTTCTATCTTAACCCTCTATTAGTCTAGCTTTATATGCCTATCTAGCTTTAGAAACTCTACTTAGCTTATTTTGCTATCCTCACTAATATAGTTAAGAATAAACCTTAGCTTTAGCTTTTTTCTATATCTATAGTAAATATTATAAACTTCTTTATTATCTTTATAACTAGAGTAGTTACTTCTCTTATCTATTACTTAGTTAAGAATAATCTGCTTATATTTATTACTAATAAGATACTTTTCTATTACTACCTCTTATTATAAACTACTACTACTATTACTACTACTATAATATATAATAACTAATACGCTTAGCTGCTTATTATAACCTGCTTACCTACTCTCTTATATAAATCACTAAAGTCTTATTAGTATATTAGCATAGATTATAAGCTATATATCTAAGATATTAATACTTAGTCTTAGTATGTTTATTATAATTATAACACCCTTAGCTTTATTATTTTAACGCTACACCTTAAGTTAAGCTACCTTACTTTTAGTTAAGTTAATATTACTAAAGAATATAGCGCACCTTAGTGTTAACCTTAGACGCTCTACTTACTTAATTAATATAGCATATATAATAGCCTTATTTTGCTTACTACTAGCTAGAAGCTTATTTACTTATTAGACTACTATTTAGTATACCTTAGCCTTAACTATATTAAGTTTTACTAGCTTTATATTATCTTTATCTTATTCTGCACTATTAATATTACTAACGCCCTTTATATTAGCCCTCTCGCTTACTATAATAATAGAGTATTAGATATTCTTATGCGTTATTACTATTTAGAATATCCTTATATAGCTAGCCTTTAGTTATATAGTATAGAAGAATACTACTTTATTTATTAGTATAAGTATTACTATTAAGTATATTATCTATATATTAAACTTATAGATTACTTCTCTAAGCTCTCTAAGTTATAGTTAGAAGCTTTATAATCTTTTAAATATAATATAGTATTTATCTATAATAATGCAGTTTAACGCTTACTTCCCTTTTAGTTATATAATAAAGTCTCTAAACCTTTTTATAATAGCTAACTTAAGTATAATAAAGATAATAGATACTACTTAGTTATTCTTATAGCTTTACTATATATAGGATATAATCTTTACCTTAATATATTGCCTATATAGATCTAATTATAGCGCTATTAGTAGCATTATAATAACTATTACTCTATTTAGTAAGTAGAATACTAGCAGTATAAATAAGATACTCTTATTACTACTTATTTCTATTACTTATATAATTAGTATATACTTATTAATAATAATAAGTACTGCTTCTCTTTAGTTTCTGCAGAATATTGCTAAGTTATCCTCTATTATTTATTATAGCTAGCTTTTTAAGTTAATTCTCTTTAGCTTCTTAAATTATTAGAGCTTAGCTATAAGCTATAGCCCTTTATATGCCTCTATTTTTTTCCTCTTATAGCCTATAGAACCTTATTTTAACTTTAAATCCTTAGTACTAAAGCTTAGAAACTTATGCTACTAATAGCTAACTTAGTAGAATTATTACTACCTTACTATAAGACTGCTGCTAAACTATATAAGCTTTTATATATAGATTATACTTACTATCTATATATTATGCTCTACTTATAAGTCTTATAAGCTATTCTTAACCTTATCTATCCCCTCTTTTAATCTTATACTAGTGTTATCTCTACTTAGTTAGCTAAATAACTTATTTAAGTAGTAATTAGTGATGCTAATAGTGATATGCTGCTATATACTTATATTAACTTAATATTTTAGTAGTTTTATGCTAGTTTACTATATAATTTACTATGCTCTATCTATTATCTATATTTACTCTTTTTTCTACGTTTAGTTACTTATACTTATACTCTTATTACTAGCCTTATTTTTATTTATACTATAATTATTACTATTTTTAATATTTATATTATTACTATTTTATTCTTTTAATCTTATTACTATACTACTAGCTTCTAAATCCTTCTACTAAATAATATTATCTACCTATATAAATACGCTATACCTACTAGCTTTATATATAATACTTTATACTTCCTACTAAAATAGTAAGATAAGCTAAAGATATTATATAATAAGCTTACTAACCTCCTTTAGGAGATATTAGTAGATCACTTTTGCTTACTTAGTTATATAGTAACCTTTATAGTATACTATAATAAAGCATAATATTTTATTATATATTATAATATTATAAACACCTTTATTAACTATATTAACTATCTATAGATCTATAAGCTTGCTTACCTATACTAGCTATCTGCTAAGTATATATAGAAGTATTTATAGTTGCTTATAGAGTTATTTAAACGTCTTATTAAACTTCTATATAGCTAATAGCTAGAATAGCTAGTTTATTACCTTATAACTGTTATTTATACTGCTATTTAGTCCTTAGCGTTCTATAGTAATAAGTAACTACGCTAGCTATATAAATAGCTATCTATCCTTAATAGAAACCTAGTTATTATAGTTATTAGCGAGAAATAAGTATTTAGGCTTTATCTTACTATAGTTATTTTTAATTAATAACTATAAGATAGCTAATAGTTATAACTAAATATTACTTTTAAGACTATTTACTAAACCTAAATCCTCTATTACTATTAGCTTTATAAGCAGCTTTTATATTTCTTAGACTAACTTATATAGTATATTTAATAGCTGCTTTATTATAAACTATACCTACCTATATAATATATAATTACTAACTTAGTTAATAATACTAGCTGCTGCTATATTATATTAGATATATATCCTATATATTTACATCTTAAGAATCTAGTTTATTAGTATTAGCTCTATATTCTTATTACTTATTATTTATATTATAAACTACTATACTTTTACTTATATATACTAAAATAAACTCTATATTATATCCTCTGCTTTATTATTACTTAGAGATTTTCTTAGCTTAATAACCTTATTATAGCGCTTAATATAAGCTTAATAGATTATTAATATATATACTATCTTAATAATAGCTAAATATTTTATTATATAGTTTATAATTTAAACCTAACTACTATTCTTAGTAATACTTATTACTATAAGAGTACTAAGAAGAGTACTACTATAGTTTCTACCTTTTAGCTAGTAGTTTAGTATACTAATAAGTATATTAAGTACTATATATTCTAGTTTCTCTTATATTTAATGCTTTATCCTTATACTAGCTACTTCTACTATCTGCTTAAATAAGTCTTATACCTTTCTCTATAATAGCGTTAGTTTATATAGTAACTACTTATTATTATTTATTTCCTATATATAGAACTAAATATATAATAGATTTAGCTATATACTTTTATATCTTACTTATATATTATCCTCTATATAGTTATTAAACAACCTCCTTAGTTTAATATATACTTCTATATACTACGTTTTAAATAATATAGCTAGCTTAATAATATTAAGAGTAGATATTACTTAAGCTTAGTCTAATATATAGTTAACTATTACCTATATTGCTTAAAGTATAACTTTATCTTTATTAATAAGAGCTATTATATTAAAGAGTATACTAATATTAAGCTTTTTTAAGTATACTGCCTATCTTATATAAGCTAGCTATAAGCTAAGCTTAAGTCTTTTATTAGCGATATAGATTAGCTTATTATAGCTTATTTTTATACATTCTA